GATGGAGTGGAGTCTGTTCCTCTGCGTCCCGGACTTCCACCATCGTCTTCAAGATCCATCCTTCGTCGTTCTGAGTCGAGGCGGCCGTTAAAAGGAGGTCCACGATTTCCTGTGAATTATCAAGAATATTTGATGTAAGTCGGGGTCACGATTTCCTGTGAATTATCGAGAATATTTGTGTAAGTCTGGATCACAATTTCCTGTGAATTATCGAGAATATTTGTGTAAGTCGAGGACAAAATTTCCTGTGAACTATCAAGAATATTTGTATAAGTCGGGGTCACAATATGCTGTGAACTATCAAGAATATGTGGATAAATTGAGGTCAAATTGCTGTGAACTATCAAGAATATTTGGATAAATTGAGGTCACAATATGCTTTGAACTATCAAGAATATTTGGATAAATTGAGGTCACAATATGCTTTGAACTATCAAGAATATTTGGATAAATTGAGGTCACAATATGCTGTGAATTGTCAAGAATATTTGAATAAGTCTGGATCAAAATTTCCTGTGAATTATCAAGGATATATGATATTTGAAGAATATCTGAATTATCGAGAATATTTGATGGAGTCGGGTCACAATATGCTGTGAACTATCAAGAATATTTGTATAAGTCGGGGTCACAATATGCTGTGAATTATCGAGAATATTTGATGTAAGTCGGGGTCACGATTTCCTGTGAATTATCGAGAATATTTGATGAAGTCGGGGTCACAATATGCTGTGAATTATCAAGAATATTTGGATAAGTTGGGTCACAATATGCTGTGAATTATCAAGAATATTTAAATGAAGTCGGGGTCACAATTTCCTGTGAATTATCAAGAATATTTGAAAAGTCGGGTCACAATTTCCTGTGAATTATCAAGAATATTTGAATAAGTCCTTTGACTATCAAGAATATCTGATTAAGTCGAGGTCACAATTTCCTGTGAATTTAAAGAATATTTGTATGTCGAGGTCCACGATTTCCTGTGAATTATCAAGATATTTGATGAAGTCGGGTCACAATATGCTGTGAATTATCGAGAATATTTGTATAAGTCGGGGTCACAATATGCTGTGAACTATCAAGAATATTTGGATAAATTGAGGTCAACATATACTGTGAACTATCAAGAATATTTGGATAAATTGAGGTCACAATATGCTGTGAACTATCAAGAATATTTGGATAAATTGAGGTCACAATATGCTGTGAATTATCAAGAATATTTGTATAAGTCGGGGTCACAATATGCTGTGAACTATCAAGAATATTTGAATAAGTCGGGGGTCACAATTTGCTGTGAATTATAAGAATATTTGAATAAGTCGGGGTCACAATTTTCTGTGAATTATCAAGAATATTTGATGAAGTCGGGATCACATATGCTGGAATTATCAAAGAATATTTGGATAAGTCGGGGTCACAATTTGCTGTGAATTATAAGAATATTTGAATAAGTCGGGGTCACAATTTTCTTGTGAATTATCAAGAATATTTGATGAAGTCGGGGTCACAATATGCTGTGAATTATCAGAATATTTGGATAAGTCGGGTCATCGCCCTTTGAAACCTGTACGGGGGGGGGGGTGAGATCCTGCTTCGGTGCTTGAAAAGTTCGTTATAACGGGTATCCCGTTTCTCGAAAAAGGGGAGGCTGTATATATGGCAGAAGAGTGGGGGGGGGGAGAGGGACGGAATAAATATAAGTATATTTAAAAAGCTTAGTTTTCATATAAAATAAGACCACATTCACGGAAGATTAAACAATCGAATTCAAAGAAACAAAAGCGAATCGTGGACGTACTAAATGGCATAGTTTTCATATAAAATAAGACCACATTCACCGAAGAACAAAAATTAAAAAAAAAAAAAATCGAATTCAAAGAAAACAAAAAGCGAATCGTGGACGTACCAAGTGGCAGTTTTCATATAAAATAAAACCACATTCACCGAAGAACAAAATTTAAAAATAATAAAAATGATTCAAAAAAAAGAAGAAAAAAAAACGAATCGTGAACGTGTCAAGTGGCATAGTTTTCATGTAAAATAAAACCACATTCACCGAAGAAGAGAAAAAAAAAAAAAAGGAATAAAAAAAAAAAAAAAAAAAAAAAAAAAAAAAAAAAAAAAAACAATCCGGACGTACCAAGTGGCCCTCCATGGCAGCCCGGTGAAGCGGCGTCTGCAGCGTCTCGTCCTTGGCCAACAGAACGGCTCCTGCATCCACCAGACGGCGGGGCGATGTCCACGTACCCGTAAGAACAGGCGACAAACAGAGGAGTCATCATCTGCTGTCTTTGGCCTGGAATTCAGGAGGAGGGAATCAAAGAGAGGTTAATTTGTCGAAAAATCTGTGAGACAGGTAAGTCATTCAGTAAATAACTTGTGAAAAAACAGCCGGTTTGTTAGAATTGTGCCAGGCCCGACGCAATGAATTTACATAGAGAATAAAGCATATCTGTCTATATATCTGATAGATTTTCTATCTATTTGCCCGGTTGATATGCATGTTTAATGATATATGCATTTATTTCTTTATTTTTATGCATCTCAAGTATACGAATATTTCTTTGGGTCGGCCTCGCACAATTCTAAACAAACCGTAGTAAGGGTGTGTTCCTGCTTCATCATTGTGGAAAAGTATTATAATTCGTTGTACATGTCTACACTACTAAAGTTAGTTCATGATGTATATCTTTTAACTAAGTCTCATTAATTGTAAGCACCTCCCTCATGTTCATCAGCTATCAAGCCTTCCTTCTCAACAAACAAAACTTCCATAATTTCATCAGTCAATACTTCTCATTCGCGCCATATGCAAACACTTCACACCCTACCACTCCCTCTTTCCTTCTCTGTCTGTCTGTCTGTCTGTCTGTCTCTCTACCTTACCTCTACCTCTACCTCTACTCTCTACCTCTACCTCTACTCTCTACCTCTACCTCTACTACCTCTACCTCTACTCTACTTCTACTTCTACTTCTACTTCTACCTTCTACCTCTCTCTCTCTCTCTCTTTCTCTCTCTCTCTTCTCTCCTCTCTCTCTTCTCTCTCTCTTCTTCTCTCCCTCTCCCTCTCCCTCTCCCTCTCCTCTCCCTCTCCCTCTCCCTCCCTCTCCTCTCCCTTCCTCTCCCTCTCCCTCTCCCTCTCCCTCTCCCTCCCTCCTCTCCCTCTCCCTCCCACTCCCTCTCCCTCCCACTCCCACTCCCACTCCCACTCCCACTCCCACTCCCCACTCCCACTCCCTGTCTCAAAGTACACACACCTATCCACGCCAAATAATCGACTGTACTCCCCATTCCCATCGCATCGGGTCCTACCTCGATGTCAACCTGCGGACAGGTCAGGAGGTCCCTCGCAGACGGGTCGTTCCCTCTCATGGCGGCGAAGTGGAGGGGCGTCTGGTCGTAGATGTCCCTGGAGTTGACTTCGGCTCCGCATTCCACCAGGATTCGAACGACGGAGTCATCGGAAAGGCGCCGACGCCGTAGCCGTTCTGGGAGGTCAGCGTCAGGTTGCTGCTTTGTCTGTCCGTAAAGGGGGGAAAGGGGTGTCGGTTGGAATTCATATATTTTTTTTTTTTTTTTTGGGGGGGATAAGTGCGATATGGGAAGATAAATGGAAATAAGAGAGACATGTATACATACATACATACATAAACAGACATATATACCCATACATACATAAATACCAGGGCAGAGAGATAGATAAATATACAAATTGGAGGATATATATAGATGGACAAATATAGATAGATAGATAGACAGACAGACAGACAGACAGACAGACACACACCACCACACACACACACGCACACACACACACACACACACACACACACACCACAACACACACACACACACACACACACCACACACACCACACACACACACACGCGCGCGCGCGCGCGCGCGCGCAGCACATTCCATCAAATACATCAAAGCAAACTGAAATACGCTAGAAGCACTTTCACGGTGCTAATAACGACAACAAAAAACCCAAAACAGGACCATTACCCCAACGTTAATTTCACCAAAACCACTTCTCAAAGTCGCCCGCAAATTGTGCTTGCTTTACACACACACTCAGTCCATTGGGGGTGTTTGCTAGCGCCAGGGCAATATATTTAACGAAATTACACCCAACACTAATTGCGATAAGGCGTGGCGGGGCTAGCGGGGATTAGGGGCGGAGCCAACGGTTTGAATTTCCTTCGTGGAGAGTAAACGAGCAAATGGCTATTTTATTGTGATTTTTATCCTCCGCGGCAATTTGGATTTTTAGATTTTGTTTAATTGCAGTATGTTTTTATTTCTTCATTTATTTATTTATTTTTGATGGCGTTTCTTTTCTTCATTTATTATAAAAAAAATACTAAAAGCAAGGAGTCAGATTATAAGCTATGGAGATTTACAAGACTTTTGCTTTAAATAATACATATATCACAAATTCTATTAATTTAATCATCTATGAATATACAAACCCCTATTATATTAGAAAATATCATAATATACCACACACACACACACACACACACACACACACACACACACACACACACACACACACACCACACACACACACACACACACACACACACACACACAAAATAATCATCAAAATAACAATAACAGCAACAACAACAATAAACAACAAATAACAATATAAAAAATGAAAGAAAAAATACTAAATCCTAAAAAAACACGTAATCCTAGATCCCATAGGCCTACACACACCCTCGGGCTCCAGTTCCTCGTCTCCTTCCTCTTTCTCTTGCTCTTCCTCTTCGCTGACAACAGGAGGCAACGGAGACCTCCTCTTGGCCGATTTGAGCTGTTTCCGGTATCTGTTCACAACGGGAAAAACAGCTGATCAAGTGTTTTATTGTCTTGTGTCTTGTTTGTTATTGTTTTACCTGTATATGTATATTTTTTACCTGTCTATCTATATAGTTTTTTTTATTAATCTATATCTTATTATTTTGTATTTCTTTGCACTATTTTTATTTATTTACTTATTTCATACTTATTCTAAATCGGAAAGCTTAACTGCTGAACTTTATTTTTATTGATTTTTTTTTCAATTCATTAATTTAATCAATTCACTTTCTTTGCTATGAATCTTTTATATGGATTGATAAGCATTAAAACATATAAATACATTAATCCTTAATATACATTGAGAGATAACAGATAGCCAAATATTAGATAGATACTAAAACAGATATATAGATAGATAACAGATAGACAGAATTATAGATAGATAACAGATAACATATAGACAATTATAGATAGATAAGAGATAACAGACAGACAATATATAGATAGATAAAAATAACAGATAGACAGATATATAGACAGATAACAAATAGATAGATATACAGAAATATATACTAAAACAGAGACAGACCACCCCACCCCAACCTACCTGGCAGCGAAGTGCAAGGGCGTGAGGTTATCCTGCCCCTTGATGTTGACGTGGGCGCCGGCGTTGATGAGCGTCTTGACCGTGCCAGTGTGGGCGTAGCGGGCGGCGTAGTGCAAGGGCGCCAGTTTGTCTGCGTCCAGGGTGTTGATGCGGCGCCGGACCTGCTCCCCGAGGCGCTCCAGAGCCGACGCCAGGAGGTCGCTGTTGCCATCGCGGGCCAGCTGCGGGAGCGCGAGGGGGGGGGGCGTTAATGTTATTTTCAGTAGTAGGAGTAGGAGTAGTAGTAGTAGTAGTAGGAATAGTAGTAGGGATAGTAGTAGTAGTAGTAGTAGTAGTAGTAGTAGTAGTAATAGTAGTAGGAGTAGTAGTAGTAGTAGGAGTAGTAGTAGGGATAGTAGTGGGAGTAGTAAGTAGTAGTAGTAGTAGTAGTTGGAGTGGTAATGGTGGTAGTAGTAGTAGTAGTAGTAGTAGCAGTAGTTGGAGTGGTAATGGTAGTAATAGTAGTAGGATAGTAGCAGTAGAAGTGTAGTAATATTAGCAGTAGTTATAGTTGGATTAAGAGTAGTAGTAGTAATAGTAGGAGTAGTAATAGAAATAGTAAGAGTAGTAATAGTAGTAGTGGTAGTAGTAGTAGAAGCAGTAGTAGTAGTAGCCGTAATAGTAGAAATATAAATATTGACAAAGTAATGGTAGTAGTAGCAGTAGTAATAATGGCAGGAGTAGTAGTTGTAGTGGTGTTGTAGTAGGAGTAGTAGTAGTAGTAATAGTAAGAGTAGTAGTAGTAAAATATTATACTATGTAGTAATTGTAGTAGTGTTGATGTCATAAGAATTGAAGATGCGAATGTATGTAAAAGTGTCACGAACATGGAAGTGGAGGGAACGAGAGAAGTGGGAGGCCGACGTTAAGACGGAAGGATAGAATGACATGAAAATCAAATGACATGTAAAAGAGAGTCAAAGTGAACTAGAAGAACGAAGGAAAAGAGTCTAAGAGAACAAGAACGAAGGAAAATGATCAAAGTGACCAAGATGAACGAAGGTAAAGAGACAAAGTGAACAAGGTGAACGAAGGAAAGGAGTCAAAGTGAACAAGTTGTACAAGACAGAAGATGGAGAAGAAGGCTAACAAGAAACATTGACCCCGTACAGAAAGGGGTAAAAGTTGAAGCCAAAGTAGTAGTAGTAGTATTGTTATTGTTATTATGTTGACGTTATTATCTTCATTAACAATAACATTCAACATCAGCATCAACGTCATCATCATCACCATCAACATCAACATCAATAACAATAATAATAATAATAATAATAATAATAATAATAATGATAATAATATTACTATTGTTATCGCTATTGATGTTAATATTAGTATTACTCTTACTGCCAATATTATTACTATTATATAATGTAAGTAACACTTTCTTGAAAACAATAAAAAAAATAAAACCATATACGTCTTTATGAGCTGTGTTAACTTAAAGAATTTCTCAGAGGTCTTTCACAAACTCAATGCTCTTTCACACTACTTATTGCTCATTATAAAACTCAAAGCTCTTTCACAAACCCATTGTTCTGCCACAAATTCAATGCTCTTTCACAAAGTCAATCCTCTTTCACAAAACTCAATGCACTTTCACTTACTCTATTTTTTTCACAAACTCACTACTCTTTCTCAATACTCAATGCTCTTTCAAAAACTCAATACTTTTTCACAAAACTCACAGCTCTTTCAGAAATTCAATACTTTTTCACAATGCTCTTTCACAGAACTCACTCTTCTTTAACCTACTTAAATAATATTTTAAAAATCGATGCTCTTTCACAAACTCAATGCTCTTTTAAAAGCTCAAAGCTCTTACACAAACTTAAAGCTCTTTCACATACTCAATACTCTTTAGCTAACTCAGTGCTCTCTAAAGCGTTCAAGGCTCTTTCACATACTCAATGCTCTTTAGCAACTCAATGCTCTTTTAAAAGCTCAATGCTCTTTTACAAGCTCAAAGCTCTTACACAAACTCAATGCTCTTTAGCAAACGCAGTGCTCTTTTAAAAGCTCCATACTCTTTAGCAAACGTAAAGCTCTTTCACATACTCAATGCTCTTTAGCAACTCAATGCTCTTTCATAAGCTCAATGCTCTTTTACAAACTCAGAGCTCTTACACATGCTCAATGCTCTTTTAAAAGTTCAAAGCTCTTACACAAACTCAATTCTCTTTCACAAGCTCAACGCTCTTTTAAAACCTCAGAGCTCTTTCACAATTTACAATGCTCTTTTTTCCAACAATATTCAAGAACTTACCAGCCACAGAAGAGTATGGTTTTCCAGCCTATCTCTCCACAAGTATTCCATCACGGGGTCACTGTTCGTACTTTTTTTAATCTTCTAAAACTAAATAACTACACTTTTTCGTTACTCATTTCCTTAGTAACATGACGTGGATGTGCCTCGTAATTAAAAAAAAAAAAAAAAAAAAAAAAAAAAAAAAACACTAAGACTTACGACAACCTCTGAAGAATAAATTATTTCGTTTTCCATTTCTGTCTCACTAAAACAAAACACAAATTCAAATCAAGTTTCCCGCGCAATGTCGTAGTTCATTCTCAAGTATTAGAAAACAGTAATAATTTTTTTTCTTTTCACGAAAGATCCATTTCACACGGACACAATCAATGGATTTTCCTGGACAGAGATCTGGCCGGTTGTATGGAGTGAACCCGGTCTTTGCGAAAAGCACGCCCGTCTGCGGCCTGGCACCCTTCCTGGCACAGTGCCACGTTATGTTGAGGGTGAGGACGGGGGAGGGGGGGGCAGTGGGACTTACAACAGCCCCCCTCTCCTCCTCTTCCCCCTTTCTCCTCTACCCCTTCCTCCTTTTACCCCTTCTCCTCTTCCCCCCTTCCTCCCTACCCCTCCCCTTCCTCCTCTTCCCCCTTCCTCCCTTCTACCCCTTCCTCCTCCCCCCCCCTTCCCCCTTCCCCCTACCCCCTTCACCCTTCCTCCTCTCCCCCCCTTTCCCCCTTCCCCCCTTCCCCTCTATATGGACTATGATAACGACAGGGTCTTTCGCTCCCCGGCGGCACTCGTAGAAAACGGTAGAATTCATAGCCCGTAAAAAAAATATTTTTTCTCCTCATCCAAAACAAAAAGAAGAAAGAAAGGAAATAATAAGAAAAGGAAAAAATATATATACACTTCACCTCAATTATCACTACATCCAACAGCACCACCACCAACAACACTATCAAGAACAACAACAACAACAGCACTCGCCACCATCACATCCACAAAAAAAATCTTGTAATATTGATCATTAATCTTCAAGCCTTATCTACGCTTATCGACCGGCCTTTCCTTATCAACCCGCGTAATATGACATCAAGTAGTAAACACTTTGTCGGTAAGACCATTTTAAGATCAAATTTAAGTAATTTTCGTACTTATTACTTTCTAATTTGTAATGTGGTTCAGAATGCACTGAAGCTGTCATAAAAAGAATGTAAAATCTAAAATTGAATGAACAAAATAATTATATTATGAATCGCAAAACACTATCTACGAATATATCAATAACAATAAGAGATATAAATAATAACACTAATAAGGGACATTATTATTACCATCATTATTATCATTAATGATAATAACAACAATAGCATTATCATCACTTTTATCAATATTAATATTATCATTAACATTATCATCATCATGACTACCATCATTATCATCAGCATTATTATCATAATTATTTCCTCATTATCCATTATTTTATCATTATCATTATTTTATCATCCCCACCATTATCATCAATTCTACTATTATAATCATTATCGTTGTAATCACTGTTGTCTTTATTTGCCACCACTATGATATATAAATAGATATCATCACTGTCGTTATCAGAATAATCTTAATACTATCATTACCATTAGTATGGTATAACAACCATCGTTGTCACCATTAATCATCAAGCTAATTATACTATCACCGAAATTATACCCAGTAATTATAAAAATTGGTGCTATATGTACCGGGCGTTTTGTCAAACAATGAGAGAGAGAGAGAGAGAGAGAGAGAGAGAGAGAGAGAGAGAGAGAGAGAGAGAGAGAGAGAGAGAGAGAGAGAGAGAGAGAGAGAGAGAGAGAGAGAGCAGAGAGAGAGACAGAGAGAGAGGAGAGAGAGAGAGAGAAAGAGAGAGAAAGAGAGAACAGAGACAGAGACAGAGAGCCATAGACAGAGAGAGAGATAGAGAGAGAGACAAAGACAGAGAGAGATGGAAGAACAGTGCAAGTGGTTGTAGACGCCCAAACATCTTCTAAATCTCCAATTGATACCAGTGCCCCACAAGGCAAAGTCATCGAGTCCTTGCTGTGGAATGTCTATTTCAACGATAGTCCGCAGCTCATACCAAACGCCCAGGCCTATGTAATCACCTGTAATCACCTTGCATCACACCATACCATCTTGGGACTCCTCGTTGCATGGAAAGGAAATGGCAAGTTACCTTCGCCCCTGAGAAGACCCAGGCCATGCTGATAGCGTCAGACTCCCCTCGCACACACTCCGGTCCTGACGATGAAAGGCCAGACCCCCGCCTTCGACAGCGCCGTCAGCATCCTAGGGGTTCAGATCGACGGCCGCCTCCCCTTCTCGGACCACGCCAGGGGAATGGCAAAGAACGCGGCGAGGAAACTGCTATGCATCCGTCGTGTGGCGCCCCTCCTTGATGCCAAAGGCTGCTACACGCTCTTACCACTCCTAGGTTCTATCCCTTATGGAGCAATGCCCCTTGGCGTGGTCCTACTGCCCTCAATCATACCTGCGACAGCTAAACAGGGCCCAAAATCGAGCCCAGAGACTAGTGTCATACCAAACACTAGCAGGACATCGACAGTTACACTTTCGGTCTCTTGAGCATCGACGAGATGTTGCAGCTCTCGGTGTACTTTACAAAGTACACTGGCAACACGTCCATCTCACGCCCCAGCGATTTAAACCAAGAGCGGCTGCAACGCGCGACACACGGCACTCTAGCACGAGCGGTCAAGAGCTGCAGATATCCTTCTCCAGGACCGAACTTCATCAACGTTCCTTCCAACCCAAATATACCAGGCTCTGGAACAAGATGGTTCGGCAAACCTCTCTGCACAACCTGACCAGCCTGCAAGCCTTCAAAGCTGTTGTACACAGACGGAGGTCCCACGATCCTGGTTTATACTGAGAGTCTAATTCATA